CTCTATCTCCTTTCCCTCTTCCACCCCCATTCATTCTTTCGAGTCTCATCACTCTCTCTTCTCCTTTCTCTCCCCTCTCGCTCTCAATCTCCCTCTTCTACCCTTTATCTACCCTGCCTCATTCCTTGTTTACCTCCATTCCCCTCCCTTTATTCTCATCTCTACTCTCAAATCTTATCCTTTATTGTCTTGCTTCTCTCGTGTTTCTTTCTTTGTCCCTCGTTCTGACTTTCTCTCTTTCTCTCCCTGTCTCCCCTCTCACCCGTTATTTCCCTCTCTAGTCTGCCCTTTCCTCCTCCTCCTTGATGTCGCTCATTGCTTTGGGATTGTCGACGAGAGAATGGGAAAGGAGTGCGGTTGGAAAATCTTTTCAGTTGCAAAAATATCTCTTATAGGAAAGGTTTTGCGATAACTATAGCTAAGTTAAAGCTAAAAAGCTATAGCTATAGCTAAGAAAGCAAATCTAAATGGCTTCATTTCCAAAACATTTCTCACATTAAACGATAAAACATTTATGAGTTAATACGACCGCGCGGAGCTGCTTGTATAAGATAGTTTTGTAAGCTAATGTCTGAGAGTCACGCGCAAGGGTCATGATATCTTATTCATTTTTTCTTTTGCTCGATTTTTAGAAGTCTTTAGATTTTTATATGTAAAAATGAATTCGTCGTCCGGATGGCCGAGATAGTTAAGACAGTGTCGTAGCGATCTGGAACTGAAGGATTGTGAGTTCGAGTCCCGTGTCGGGCATGGTTGTATTTGTGTTCGTCCTTTCATCCCTATCATCACCATATCATGTTATCTTCATAGATACCATTACGGTTAATCCAATAGTGGTCGCTAATGACCTAGATTCTGATGCGACCTTAAAAACATTGATTTTGATACTCATTGTTTAAAAGTAGAATTTACGCCAACCATTATTTGTTTCAAAAGTGGTTTTTTAGTGACTTCATGGCTTTATGGGAAACGCTGTGTCCTAGACACAAGTGCCAAGGTTTCCGCCGAAGAAAACTAAGAGGAAACGTGGATCAAACTAGCTACAGTCTCACTGCAACCTTCCTCTTCCATATTGAGAACTATATATGAGTAAATACTTATAAATTGCAATTATTTGTTAATTACTAAAAATATTGGGGTGTAAAACAACACACTGTCAATTTTCAAAACCTCAGAGAGTGTAACGAAAATGGGACTTTTTGCTAAGCAATCATGCAATTTGCAAAGCATAATTTATTTTATTTGAGAAAATCATTCAAGAAAAAAAATAGAGCATTTATTGAGGACATATTTGCTAACTGTATCTGACGCACAGACTGTAGCTTCTGTGTAGAAACATGTATGCAGCAGAAAAGATTTTACGATGTGTGTTATATTTATGGACATCTGTAATCCTTAATAATCACCCAGTGATCGTGTATTTCAGCATTTTTATATGAAATGCTCTTTCATACGACACTGAATCGTTAATTCGTCGGTAGTGAGTTCCAAAATGTGTGTGCATTGGAAATAATGCATTTTTGCAGAAAATGGCCTTTCAAGGAGAAGATAGAGCGAATCTACGGCCGCTTGGTGGAGGTGGGCATCGTGTTGCACTGGAAAGACGTCTACTTACGGGAGATAGGCACGCGGATGGATATGGAAATGTGGGGAAATGTAACGGAGGACGCGCCGCCCACTGGCGACCCCCAGCGCTTCGGGCCGGAGGACGTGCAGGCGCACTTCCTGCTGCTGGGCGCGGGGCTGCTGGTCTCGGCGGCCGCCCTCGCTGTGGAGGCGGCGCTCTCCTAGAGGCGGGTCAGAGGGCGGGGAAGGGGATATGCGGGATGTCGGAGGTGCAGAATGCACGAGGAGCGCTATGCGAGAGGGGGTTGCTGGATGAGCGGAACCCGGATTAGCGAATGCTGGAGGAGCTTAGGAGTTGATTCCGGAGAGTTGGATGCCGGAGACGCGGATCCCGGAGGGGTGGATGCCATAGGTGTGGATACTGGGAGAGCGATGCCGGAGAGGCGAATGTCGGAGGGCTGGGTGCCGGGCGAAGAATCTTCGACGTTTCTCATCAGAAGGGTTGATCGCTCTGATGTCACTTTATAACCAATCCTCATTTTCAGCACGTGTACCTGTTTATCTCGAGTGAGTTAAAATATGATTTTAGTTATTAGATAATTTGTGGATTTAAATATTACCTCGTATGAGATATTCTTCATCACATGAACATACTTATTTTGAATGATTTCACGTTATTACAGTAATTATTATACACATTCTAATTGTTTTACCTACATTCTAATTAAATGATATGCGAGTTCAAATATCATCATCTGTGAAGTTATATTTGTTTAGGTAAATTGAAATTATAGTACTGGCCATTTGATAATTCACACTCGCATTGTAGTTAAATGGTTTGTGAATTCAAACATCATGTTGTGTGATATCAGAAAAACTTTGGCTGAATTGAACATTTGTTATTAATCATTTGATAATTCAGACACACATTGTAGTTAAATGATTTGTTAAATCAAACATCGCGTTCTGTGAGATCCTGGTTTTCATCACATTGATATATTTTATTTGGAGGGAATTGATATTATGGCAAATATTTGGTAATTCACACCCACATTGTAATTAATAGGTTTGTGAATTCGAGTATCACTTAGTATGTATATTATCTATCACTTATATCGCCTTGTTCAAGATTATGTTTAGTTTGAGAGAATTAAAAATTCGATATTAATTATTTGAGATTTTACGCTTATATTATAATTAAGATTATTATGCGTTTTTGGGTTATTGTCCAAAGGAACAATATGTTTAATTTTGTTTGTGATACGCTCTACGAGGCAATGCATTGTACTGAATCTAATCTTTGAAGTAAACAACTGACAATACCAAAGATCATTACTTGTTTGGTTATTATTTTATCATATGTTATGAAATCCTAGAGAGGGTTGATATCATTTTTTCTTTCTATTCTTCTCATTCATTGCTCATTACAATGGAAGATTGTGGCCGGCACGACGTCCGAGAAATATTCAGGCCCCTTCGCCTCACTGACGAGGGCATCGAACGCCGTATGAATAGGAGCTAAATGTGTGATGTGATTTATATAGTCAGCAGGTTGGGCCACAAGCGCCCGTCTGCACCGCGCTTCCAGTGCCTTCGTGACCCGAATAGCTCATACCCATGGCGTTGAATGGAGAATTTCGCCATTCTCTTTATGTGACAGATATGCAACACGTGGTCCCCTAAGCACATTAACACAACTAATGAGTTGTGCTGCTCATTCAGTTAATGTTGAAAAAGTAACTGGCAGGAACGTATTAATTCATTGAAAATGTTTGGTTGTGAAGCAATGGATGACACGTGTAACTCACTGGTTCATGAAGAAACGATTGATTACGTGGTATATAAGAACTTACATGCACGTGGTGATATCAGTTCAGCTTGAAGTACACAGTATAAAAACACAGAACTTATCACTTCCACATGATAGCTGGAAGATGATGTGCCCATGAGGTCACGCATAGTTGCATTAACACACGTGGAGTCATGAGGCTAATTAAGAACCTGTGCTCTGAGAACGCTTGCAAAGGTTGGCGTGATGGACACCCAGTGAGCAAGGACAAGACTGAGCATTCTGTAACTGCTTCTCACAATATTGAGAGGGGAGGCAGGCCGTCGGGCTGCCGGGTTCTCACTCTGGTGAGCAACTCAGGGTGAGTGAGGATTTTGCACAATCATAGTCAAGGATGTAGCGTCATCTGTGGTCTGCGCTAGAAGTAACTGAACATAGCCGACGAGCTGGTTATACATATATGAGAGATATCGACTCGTAAGATACTCCAGAGCGTGCGTTTAAATTATGGAATAAATACCTATATATGCAGTGAGTTCTAACAAATCTACCGTTGAGTTACGTTCTGCACCCGCAATCTTAATCTGTTAAGTATCAATTGAATTTAGTGGAGGGTGTAATGATACACACACACCACAGTTTGATATTTCATCATCATCGTTTGTTTCTTAACTTTCCGAAGGTTTCAACTGTGCACAACGTTTCCTCTGTATATAAAATGCCGGAATTTTACCTTGACGTCCTTCAGTAAGGACAGTTCCAACAACATCGAATAACAATTGACGAAAAACGTCAAATATAATATAACCCTATAAACAATGTAGTTCATTCCTTTACGGTATTTAAAATTTTAAAAACACATTGACATGGTGCCATTAACCTCAGTATGATCTGGGCTGTTCGGGTGACGCCGCATCGAAGGCTGAGGTGCCGACGTTTCTACCGACGCCGGTCGAAAGTTGTTTCAGGTAATATTTGCGGCATTCTTTTGACACCTGTGATTTTAGAGAAACCAGCCAAAGTTAGAAGCAGCTCTCCTGTAAAGTTAACATTTTGTGGCTTGAGACTATCTCTGATGCGTCGTATAGGTAAGGAATTTATGTCTTTATCCCGTTTTTAGTGAAGCCAATCGAGATATCGTCGCCTTGTGACCGATTGTTTTGCGGAAGCAGCCAGCTTCAACAATAGCCACCCGGGATAAATTCTGTTGAACGCGGGAGGAGGGGGGACGTATCTGTCGCGAACAGGCGGGAAACGTCAGGTTGTCCAGGTGCAGCAGTAACGGTAATGCCTTCGTCCACGTACTACGAGCTTCAAATGCGAGCAGCCCGGAATTAGCGATCGCAAGAGATAGGGCAATCCGAGCCTTTCTTACTTTGAAGGCATAACCTCTACGCAGATAGATATTGTTTATGGGATGATAGAAATAGATTGAAACAATTTTTCTAGCAGAGAAGACTCTTCACGCTAGACTTTTTGCGGCCCGGAGCAGTCGGTCTTAGAAGCGATATCGTGGAACGCCAAAATATCGACAGATCAAGCAATGCCTTTTGCAAATACGGATCAGTAAAAGGCTGTTGTACGTAGTACGCGAATGCCCGCCAAGCGTGCCTGCGTCTTTAGCCGAATTGTTTAGTTTTACTCCATGGAGCCACGGACCTTTGAGGCAGCGAACAAATCAGAGAGCGCAGGCATGGAGCCAAGTAGAGATGGGCGCACCCCGGCTGAAATGCTGCACTGCAGGCAGCCCAGAACGCTTCTGACGCTGCTGCGCCACACAGGTATAATGGTACATGCACAAAATATAAGGTAGGAGTTAAAATGTATTGCTCCTCCATAAGAAAGGCCCCGGCTTGGTGGAAGCGAGTAATCCTAGCACAGAAAGGAAGTAAGTTGTGTGAAGATAAAACAGAATATCAAAGGATGGTTAGACACCAGGATCAGATTCGCCTGAGAAAGCCATAGGCAGAATAGACAGGCAAGAGACCCAGGGCATATTTTAGAAAGAGAGCGCGCGATGAGAGAACAGGCAGATACGGGCGATCTGCAGGGAGCAAATGAGCATCGGAGGGGCGTTCATGGCGACAAGCGGCCCACCGGGGAGCCCAAGTAGAAGCCACCTCCAGGAGATGGGCGCGTCCCGCCCTCAGCGACTTATCCGAGGGGCAGGCTGTTATGGATTCTTTAAGTGGACTCTTCTACCCCATTGTAAAATTCGTCAATTGGATGGCTGGAACCAGTTGCGTAATGATACAGGTATTGATTGCACGGTGATTTCATTATGATACATGATCTTGAACAATCACAGAGAAGTTTACACACAAAGTGTTGACACTTAATTAATAATTGAGAATCTATGTGGTAAGTGTTTCGTTCAATTGTACATTAAAATTGCGTTTAATATATTATGCTTGTCGGTTTTAATTTCTTTTATTACCAGTATTTTTTTCGTAGAATATTCAAAATGCATTGGCTTCTAATTTCACTCTGAGCTTATTTGACTAGCGCAGTACTCCTTCGCAGGCGGATTGGTCACGAAAGCCACCTGTGGCAAAGTAAGGTAGGGTTAGGAAGCTGTCCGCTAGGTGGCCTTGGCTGAATCCTGCAGGTCAACTGCCACGAAACGATTAAATGTAAATGTTTAATTTTATATAGTTACTGTAACTCGAACAAAAAGTACCGTATAAAACTCGATGTAATGGGTATTAATACTTTCATGTGAAGTTTACGATACTCGTTAACGATACTCGATATTAATACTCATTACATCATCGTTTCATCATGTACTAACGCGCGCTTCCCAGCAGCGCGCGCTGTTGAGGCTTCCTAGGCAAAGGAAAGAGCAACTAACGTGAGGTGTAGAACAGCTAGGTAACGTACACTGTTGATGCTCGCTGGTCAGTGGAAGCAGCAACTGTAAAGCGAGATGAGGCGAGTCACTATTGGTGACGTCGATAAGGTGATGTAAGAATCCGCGGGTGACGGAGCAAACAGAATGGCTACGTCAGTGCGCTTCAAATTGTTAATATTTGTTATTATAATTCTGCCTACGTCGACTGCTTGTACTAATTGGATATTCTATTTTGAGTTTGGTACTTCGGCTAAGAACTGGTAATTTTCCTGTTGATGATAGTGCTTTGATTATCGAACACCTTCTGGTTTAATGGGACGAAACATTGCTGGGTATTTCCGGCAATGTTTCGTCCCATATAACTCTAAATGGAACTCTGAATTAAATCAATGCAATAAAAATGTGTTATCTGTTTATTCCTTTGTGTATTTACTCTGGAGATAGCCTTAACTACTGCGGAGGACGAGGAAATACTAATAATCAGCACAGGAAGAAACTTTGGACGTTTTGTGTCGAACGAAAAGAAAAATCTCCCTCGGGAGCCGCCGTCCGCCGGGCAGGGGATGGTGCAGGGCCGCGCCCGGGAGGTTGGCGGGTCGAACCCTAGGAGACAACTGAACCAACTCCACACATTGTAGAGCAGACGCTCTTCTGTAGTGTTGATGGAATCAGCAAACACAATATTTTGGAAGAGGTTTATTGCTAAAATCAAAATTCTAAAAGATAACGACTCACACGTAATATAATGAGTTTTCGATTTGTTTGTAAGGGAAAATCTAATTGAGACATTTAGTGAAGTAGCTAATATAATCATATGTTTCTCTCCTTTTCCTCGTGCTTGTCTGGATGACAAGTTGGGGCGTTGGGAGGGGCGTGGTCGCTGCGCAAGCGCCTGGCGGTGGAGCAACGGAG